TCCCTCCCTCCCTCCCTCTCTCTCTCTCTCTCTCTCTCTCTCACACACACACACACACACACACACATATCCTGAATCTGGCTTGGAGAAGCCACAAATCGCATTGGTACCAACCATTTGAACAGCAGCTCAGTTTCGCCAGGATTTGACCAGCGCCTCCATCGCCCAAATCCTCACAGCCTCCAGGCACTGGAATAGGACTTTAGCAGGATTGCTCTTTTGTTCCCTTTTAATTATACTGCTGAACATCTTGCTACACCGTGTTGCTTCAATATATGACATGATTAGAATTTATTAACATTCTAACATTTAGATAGCTTAAGTTAGGGGTGTTCAAATATGGCAACTTTAAGACTTGTGGACTTCAAGTCCCAGAATTCTCCAGCATAGCATAGCTGGCTGAAGAATTCTGGGAGTTGAAGTCCACAAGTCTTAAAGTTGTCAAGTTGCCAAGTTTGGACACCCTTGGCTTAAAGTATTGAAAATATAGCTTCCACAGCATTGTGTGTGTTTGGCCCAGGGTGGAATTGTACAACCAGGAATCATCCGCTTGCTGCTGCTGCTACTACTGTACCCCATTCTGATGGGTGACCTCATCAATGGCTTCATATAAATGTTAAACAGGAGTGGCATGACACTGGAGCTCTGACACACTCTGTAAAGCAGAGGCCTCGGGCTTGAACTTCTCCACCCCCAATGAATACTGACGGGAACTAGAGCAGAAGAGGAGAAGCAGCATAACATAGTATCTCCCACTTCCAGTCTTCTAACTCAGGCCACAAAGGCACTTTGAGGTCAGTGAGAAATCAAGGAGAGCCCAGGCACTATCCAATCCCACGCGAGGTCATTGACAAGTGCAATCACGGGTATCTCAGTACCAAAATCAGGCTTGAATCCTGACTGAAAGTAATTCATATAGGCACCACTGCTAAAAGTCACTGCATTCCAGGGTTTTTCCTGTTTCTTCTCATTTTCTTAAGAAACCTAGTTACCACTAACATACTAAAACCGTGATGGTGAACCTGTGGCACGCGTGCCACGGGTGGCATACGGAGCCATACCTGCCAACATGCAAGCCACCAGCTCCAGCCAACATGTGGAGGCCATTTTTCACCTTCCCCGGGCTTCAGGAAAGCCTCCAGAGCCTGAGGAGGGCAAAAAACATATATCAGAAGTTCATTTCCGGAGGCTTTCCTGACGCCGGGGGGTGGGGGCGCGAAAATATCAAGCTCATAGGAAATACCAAGCTCAGTTTGGAGGCGAGCAGTGTGGCGCATGTAAAGGGGGAGCATGGGGGAGATTGTGTGTGCATGCGTGCTTTGCATTATGGGTGCCGGCACGCATGCGCACTAATTTTTGCATTTTTGGCACCCAACAATGAAAATGTTCACATCGCTGTACTAAAACAAAAATAAGCAAAGATATTTTTGTACTGGATTGTTTAATTTTGAGAGCAGATTAAAGAGCAGAAACAAAATGACTGCTCTATAAAGGGCAGCTGGATTCAATATGGCCAGTCACAAAATATTTCTTTCAGAAGAACTACCTATATTTTCTTGATGCAAAATAACTCTGAAATTTAAACAGGTTTCATGAGGAGTGGGGGGGGGGGGACGACAACTGTGCTGTTATTAATTTTCTTGACCTCTTTAACGGACATACAGATACCGGTAGATAGGCAGATTTAAAAGTCATGGAATATATTTAGGCTTTGAAAACATTATTTTGCAATGCTTCCAGTTCTTTGTCTCAGTTGTATCAGATAAGTGGTTTTATAAAATTTATCAAAGATATCCAGGCAGTTTAATATGTTGCCTGCATGAATCCACTAGTTGTCTGAAGCCCTAGAGTAAGATACCAGTTTATTACACTCAGTCTTGATGTCAAATGTATCCATTAATTTTGGGGACAATTCATTTGTCCTATATAGAATCCAGAGGGTCATTGCTGGCAGACGATGGCATATATTAAATTGTAGGAAGAGCATGTAAAGGCACTTCTAATCCTGTCTTTGTATTTGTTAGGGCAAACCGCAGAGTAGACCAAATAGGACTTAAAACAAGAGTAAAGTAATATCTGACCATTTCAATTTCCCAGGACACTTCATGATAGACTTCAAAGTGGCTGTTTTGCAAAAATTGAATTTTAACAGCACCATCTAGTGATAAATTGCTGAACTCACATACATCAAAAGGTTTCACACAGTTCTCAGTGAATACAATGGGGGTTTTTTCACACATTTTGCATTTTTTTACAACTGCTAATAGACAGTCCTGAGGAGAGGGAGGTACAGCCAGTACATTGTTCCGGGGCCCATGGAGCTCAAATGGGAGGGGGCATGAAGGAGAAAAGGAGGATTTACTTAATGGCCGTGTGATTCACTTAATAACTGCAGATATTGACACAGATTTCAAAACAGTTAACTCATGGATTTTTGGCAAAGCAGTGATCCACCGCCACACGTGCCCTGCACCCACAGCATGCTGGGGCAGGGCGCATGTGGGAGGGTCATGCACTCATGGGGAGCATGCATGCGCAGGGGGTGCGCACACTGCATTTGGAGGGAGCCATATTAGTCTTGTTGCAGCACATAATAATCCTCTCGATGATCCTGCTAATAGATATGATATGTATAATCTGCATAACCAAACTATCAAGTGTTTACATAATGTATCATTTCTGACTATGGGAGGAAAGACCCCACAATAGATCTTTATACCAGATGGAAGGTTTAAATATGAAGATATGAAAATATGAAGAGTTAGTGAGGGAACTAAACTTCACCTGTAACATTTCCATACAGCAGTTTTATCACTACATTTTACACGAGCTGCAGTTTGTGAAGCCTATCAAGAGCTCTTATACTGTACAATATAAAGTTACCAGATTATGAACTAGGGTGGTTAGGCTATCACTGCTGAGGAATGGGATTAACCATACTGGCCAGACAAAACTTGCCAAATAAGCTCCAAAACACATAAATTTCCAGTAATAACAATAGACTACATTTACTACTGTTGCAGTCAATCTACTTGGTTTCCCCCCTCACAATCTTTGGCGCCCCATATCCCTCCGTTGCAATGAGTGTGGCATGCAGGTAAGACCAAGGCATTAGACCTGCCTGGAAAACGGAGGGAGAGATGGCAGCAGAAATGGGGCTGCAGCCATAAGGAGGCAGAAAGAGGGAGGGAAGGAATGGTAGTGGCCAAGACTTGTCCCTGATTTACTCCCATCTTGCTCTTGAGCAGAGGTCCCAAACTTGGCAACTTTAAGACTTGTGGACTTCAACTCCCAGAATTCTCCAGCAGCAGACGGGAGAATTCTGGGAGTTGAAGTCCACAAGTCTTAAAGTTATCAAGTTGGGGGACCCCTACTCTTGAGCAACAAACAGCATCAAGCCTTATATTAATTGATGTGTCCTTAAGATTTCATATTACTTAATTAAAATAAACATTCATAATTTATTATGTTTTCTTATTTGTTGTTTTATATTTATTTGCTGAAAAGATGAGTCTGGTCCATCATCAACTCTCAGATGTGGCCTCACGTGGTATCATACTGCTATATAAAACAGGCCTGCCAACTCCTAAAAGTAGTTAAATATATCCTTAAATTCTTGCTAATAGAATATATTAACAATATAGCAACTGTTTTTTTTAATAAACTAAGTCAGTTCCTTACCTGTCTGCTGGGTCACCCACCACCTTTCCTCCAGAACCGTTTATGGACTCTTGCCTTGTAATCCCTTGGGATCTACTTCGTTCCAAGGCTGACTGTTCTTGCAGCTTTGTTTTTTTGTCCTGAGGTGCTTTTTCATTCTGCAGTCCTCTAAAACCCTCTTGATCAGACTTCTGTGGGGTGTTAGTTCCGCTGTTATAAAACCAGGCTCCAGATTTTGTGAGGATTTCTTGTTGCTTTCGACATGAATTACACACCCACATTACCTACAAATAATACACAGAAAATATCATCAGTTTTTGAAAGTAATCTTGACAAATTCATACTAAAATGAGATGTAATACCCTATTTCCCCGAAAATAAGACCACCCCAGATAATAAGCCCAATCAGGCTTCTAAATGCATGCGCTGAAATAAGCCCTCCACTGAAAATGAGCCCTCCCCGAAAATAGTGCAACACAACAGGCATGAGGAGATCATACTCGCCACCTCCTGTACCTCAAAAATAATAAGACCTCCCTGAAAATAAGGCCTTATTTCGGGGAAACACAGTAAATTATTATAGAACATTAAAAATAACATTAAATGACAATGTTTTAAATTAATACAATTTTAACCATTATTTTTTTAAGATTAACTACTTATTTAATCCTATTTAACAAATAAAGTCCAAGCTTATTTTCTTAATACAAGAGCATAAACAACATATTTTATGGAATTTAATCCTTGATAAGAAATTGTCTTAAAATTATAATCTATACATTTTATGTATTTATTATTTCTAAAATGAATGATTTTGACAATACTGTCAAATCAGATTCATTTTATTTAACTATCAAATTTTAAGAGTCAGCTGAAGTTTTCCAGCTAAGCAGTTTGTTTTCTGTAGTATCTCCAGAACCCAATTTTCAAACAAAAATTGCCATTATTGCCCAGCAATTAACATATTATCTTGGATTATAGAAATGAAACCCTGAAATGTTAATAAAATATACGTATTTTATTAACAACAACATTATTTTATGCAAGAGACTGCTACATTAAATGCCAAAACCCCAACCCTGAATTTTGAAAAATATTATCAATAGGCTATTTTTATAGAAAACCATGTAAGGGCCCATAACTGTGCCATTGTTTAGTAATATTTTCTCCCAAACTAATAATAGAAAAGTATGAAATCGCCAAGTATTTTACTGGTAATAAAATGTTGATAGCACAATCAGAAATAGTAGAATAGTTCATCTTTGTTGATTCAGAGCTTAACAACCAATGATTATCTTTAATCTTTAGTCGCAAAACCTTTCAAGGAGTTTTAGTTATATTAATGTGCCACTGTAATTTGACATCAGAGAAATATGTTTGTTTACTCAGAAAGATGCTCTTTTATCACTTGAAAAACGAACAAAATCACAACCAAGTTCAGAAGAATACAGTCAATTTAGTATTATTGCCAGGCTAACACATCTGATTTTATAATATCAGTCCTTCCACTTTGCATATATTTCCAATGGGTTCAGACTAAAATAATCCTCCTAGAATTATAGTTTTCCTATTTTGATGTGTGTTTTTTAAAGATTGAAATTGAAGGTAACCTTCAGGGAAATACTTGAAAATACATAAAACTACATAACAGCCAAAGAATGGTGCTGTATTTAGTCTGTCTGGTATTATTTTTGAGGTCATTCCAGTTACCCTATCTCCAAGGGATTGTGACCTCCCATCACTTGCTTCATCTCATTTCTCTACTAGAATAATAGTTACACCAGAATCTTATGATGATGGGAAGCATTTTGGATATTTTTTGTTTTAAAAAAAAAAGTCTATCTAAAACGTTCAGAAGAGGCATCAAAAATCTTAGAAAAGTTTATTTTTTTAAAAAAAATCTTCATAGAAAAGGAAAGAGGATATTGGTTAACAGGTTCCTTTAATTGCTAAATCAAGCGTGCCTCATAACATGCCAAGGCCTCTGAATAATTCTTTGGGGTGGATCATACGCAATAGAAGCAGCGGGTAGATAAAGTGGGAAGGAAGGCCAAGAGCTCTCTCATCAGGAAAAGAAAAATAGCCTCAGGCTTCATTCTCTGCAGATCAGCATCAATTTCAGCTGAGAGTAAAGTTGTAGGACCAAAATCAGTTATTACTGCTTGACAGGATCTATTTACCAAAAAAAAATAGCAAAAAAAGAAAGAAGAAAATAAACAAACAACTCTTTCAGCTGTTCTGTTCTCTACTGTATGTATCATATAAATTGCACAACTATTTTCCGTATATATTGATACGACTTCTGCAAATAATTTCAATTGTTCTACAATGTCATTGCTCTGCTTGGTATTGGGAGTCCCTCGCAACCGCTTTAAAAAAAACAGGATAGGGAAAGTATGCAGAGCATAGTTTCTGAAATTTTTTCCAACTCTTTCCCAGTAATGATCATGCAGTCATCTATATTTTTCTCTGTAAAAAATGTTGTGCCTCTGTATATTTGTGCATATCTGTGCACAGTTGAGCTTCTGGTTTCTGGAGCGCACAAGCGTGCCGGCCAGCTGGTGTTTGCACCCGCATGCACACCAGAAACTGGAAAACCAGATGACCAGCACACATGCATACATCGGAAACTGGAAGCTTAGCTTCCAGCACGTGCATGCGCGCCGGGGAACTGCTCTTCCAGTTTCCGACGCTCCCACATGTACGTGCTGGGGAATTGCTCTTCTAGTTTCCGGTGCTCCCCACGCACGCACTCCCGTTTTGGCACTTGGTGCCAAAAAGGTTCGCCAACATTGCCATATCCCATTCCCCTTTGCTTATAGGTAACCAGAACATCGCAAATGGCAACCACATGATTGTGGGATGCTGCAACCTCATAATCATAAGCTGGGTGCTAAAAGCCTGGATCGCAATGGCATGATCACGGGGATACTGTGACAGCTGGAATTTTGAGGACTGATTGCATCATAATCCAGTGCAATCCCACAGAGTTGGCCTCCTCAGGGTGCCGTCGGCCAGACAGTGTTGGCTAGC